ATCATGGAGGGGCAGGATGGAGCCTACATAGCCCTCACTCCTGGGTACAAGGAGGCGGCCCCAGCCTAAACACCTCGTGTGACTTCACAACTGCGGGCGCGCCATCCGCCGGCCTTAGCCGTTCGGCGCAGCCCCCTGCGCGCAGCACCATGGACAGCGCCCGGCAGCGCGGCGAGCACCCGGGGCAAGGAGGCGCCAGCCACCGCGGACAGCGGCTGGCGGGGCAGAGGCGGCCCAGCAAAGCCGCGCGGCGTGGAGGGACGCTGGCGGCGCGCGCGGGAGGGGGAAGCGGGGAAGCCGCCCGCTCGGCTGAGATCCGGAGGAGGCGGCGGAGGCGGCACCAGGGAGAAATAACTCAAGCGCAGAGCTGATTTAGGGTGAAAATGCTCTCAGCCATGGGTGTGCACGTGGAGCGCCTGAGCTGGGGGATGCACGTGGACGCCCCGGGCATCTGCGGGGCTCCCTTCCCGTCCCCCACCGGAACGCGCGTTTGCACACGCGCACATTCCCATCCCGGCCCTCCAGGCCTCAGGGCCGAGCGGTGAAAACAAGCCAGTGGAGGGGAGGAAGCCCGGGGGAGGGAGGGTCAGCCATAAGGGAATGGCTCTCAGTAGCCTGGGAGCGGGGTGTGCGTGTGCTCGGCTGCCCCTCTTCACCACCCCGCCCCCAGCCAGAGGCCCTGCCCACTGTCCTGCCCCAGCGCCTCGCACTGACCCAGCCTGAGAATACCCCAGTCAGCAGCTCAAAACTGGAAACAGCCGCACCTCGGCCCAGAGGTCAGGGCTTTTGGAGATGGCTGAGCTCACAGTCTTCCTGCCAGCAAGGCAAGAGGTCCCTGGGGGGCTGGGAAAGGGCCCCTCTGCTTGGCTCTGGCCCCACCCCCTTGGCCAGACAGGCCGCAAGCCCCCAGCCTTCTTGGTATCTGTGAGGGCCCCCGCTGCACACAGTGGGCCTCCTTGAACCTGCTTGGAGTTCCCTGCCAGCACGGGGTAGGGGCAGCTGCGAGTCCGCTGGGGACTGCCTCCCCCTTAGGGGTAAGCACAGGAGCTAACGCCGGGAAAGGAGGCTTCTTAGAAGGTCAGCCAAGCCTGCCTCAGCCCCTGGTGTGGTGTGCCTCCGTGTGCAGTGGACTCACCCCAAGGGAAGGAAGGAGATGTGCCAACCACTTTAGCTGTCTTGTCCTGACCAGCCAGAGCCAGGGCTGGATTAGGTGCCACTTGGGAGAGCCGGCCGTGGCCTGTGCTGTTCCGGCCGACTCACCAGGAAGCATGGGGGCCCAGGTGCACCTAGGAAGCATGGTGGGGTCCCGGGTGCTCCTAGGGAGCATGGTGGGGTCCGGGTGTGCTTCTAGGAAGCATGGTGGGGTCCCGGGTGCTCCTAGGGAGCATGGTGGGGTCCGGGTGTGCTTCTAGGAAGCATGGTGGGGTCCTGGGTGCTCCTAGGGAGCATGGTGGGGTCCCGGGTGCTCCTAGGGAGCATGGTGGGGTCCTGGGTGCTCCTAGGACTCTAGAACTTGGTGGCGTCTAGGCCCACAGTCTGCAGATGGCCATAAAGAAACTGCCTCTTCTATGGGCCAAGTCTCTGGGCCCTGAGACCCAGCAAGCCCACTTTACAGCCTCACCTCTGGCTCCTCCCCAGCCCTGACCCTACAGTCCTGCCAGACCCCCTGTCCCACACCCCACACCCTGCCTGGGCACATACTGTCCCCCTGCTCGATCAGCAGGCCTCTCTGTCCCTTAACCCTGTGAGCTTCATCCTGAGTGCCAGCACTACCCCAGCCTCCCACCGTGGGGCGCCCTCACTGAGAAAACATCTCCAGGGGCTGTCACCACTGGCTACCCACCCACCTTGCCTCACGGCTAGGGGTTCCTGGAGGACAGATGGCTCCATGGCTGGGTGGCATCTGGGAGCTTGCTGACCGTGTGCATGAGACATGGCAGGCAGTCAGCAGGATCACTCAGAAAGGGTCTGGCTGCCAGGGCCCTGGAGGCCTGACGGAGGTTGGGTCAGACTATGAGGGCCAGTGGGATGGCGGACCTGCAGCCAGTCTGTTAATCCTGGTTGTGACAGAGGCTAGTGTCCGCAGCAGGGGTGGCCACTGGGGTTGGGGTTGGGCTGGTGCCAGTCTCTGAGGACGCTCCCGAGAGAAGGCTTGGGTGGGCCTTGCAGTTATTTGGACCCTTGAGAAGAGGACAGCTCACACGCTTTTTTTCAGCTGAGTCCCCACCTTGGGGTCTGCAGCGTTAAGGAAGCTGGCTGCCCGTAACCCCCACCCCCTGATCTGGCCAGGCCTGAGAGGAGAGGGACAGGAGCCGCCCACTGGGAGGGAGGGCAGAGGGCGGTCCTGCCCTGTTCTCCCCAGCACCATGCCCCCCATTGCGTGTCTGAGCCCTTCACACACTACCTGACCACAAACGGAGAAAGCAAGGCTGAGAGAGTGAGTTTTCAGAAGTTGCCCAAAGCTTGGAATTGGCCCCAGGACCCCCCCATCTGTCTGACTCCCACAGCCCAGACCAGGCATGGCAGTCCAGAGGGCAGCCCCGGGCCCCTGCCGACCTGCCTCTGGCCAGGCGCCCCTCTTGTGGCCCCCCTGCTCTGCCTTGCTCTGCTTTTGGGTCCCTGTGCCACCCCCCCCCCCCCCACGCCTGGGACCCTGGGCTGACGTTCCCTCCCAGCATTGTCCCCGACATGCCTGTTCTTCCGAGCTGCATGACCCCCACCGACACCCTATGCTCTTGAACTGCTCATACCCCGGAAACCCCTCACTCCTCATGGTCCCCAGCTTGGAGGTCCCCTCCTCCGTCCAGGATGCCCCCATGTAATGCATCCAACCCTGGATGCTGGGGGGCCAGGTCCTGCCAGAACCTGCCTGGACTAGCTGCCCCCGCTTGCTGGGGGCCTTGGAGCTGGAAAGGTTGTGGGTAGCCAGAAAAATTCCTATCAGGTCGATCTGCAGTGGCAGCCCCAGGGGCTGGGGTGACAGCCAGGGTAGCTGGGGACTGGGGACAAGGCGAGGGCTGACAAACTCCATGACAAGCCCGTGACTCAGGCACATTCGCATCTCTGCCACTCTGCAGCGGTCCTCCCCTACCGCCCCCAGCTCAGAGATGCTTCTGGGGTGCAGACTGCCCCACCCGTGCACCAGGGATCTGGGAAGGGAGCATGTGGGCCTTGAAAAGACACCCAAGGTGATGCCCCAGCAGACAGTCCTGTGGCCACAATCAGGGCAGCTCACGTGGGACTGGGCACCGTGGGGACAGACGGGGACAACAGGCCTCCCCTCAGCCCCTCTGCTCTGAGGGACCTGAGCCTGCCAGTGCTTAGGCCTGGGGCATCCAAGCCTGCTACCACAAACCCTCTCTCCCCAGCCAAGTGAGAAATGTGACCTGAGCCCTCCCTCTGTGGCTGGTCTGGTTGAGGTTCCTCCTGGGCCACTGGTGGCAGGCCATCTCCCCTCTACCCATGCCAGCCTTCAGACACAACAGTGAGCTCCCCTGCGTGATGAGATGGGCCACAGACAGTGAGCGGTCCCAGCCAAGGAGCCTCTTCCCCCACCTTGGAGTGAGATGTCTCCCTGGGTCTCAGTGGTCAGCCTTCCTGAGCCTGGGCCCAGGCGTCTCAGGGGACCCTGGTCCCTCCACCACAGGAAACGCTTGTTTCCTTCTGACCAGTATGGGAGGTGGGACTCCCTCAAGTGCCCTGGAAGAAGGCAAAAAACAGAAGGTGGTGCCCATCCAGTGACGCTAGGTGAGGGATAGTTGAGGTGGGGAGAGCCAGGTAGCAGAGATGGCCGGCACCTAGGCAGCTCTGTCCTGGGGTCTCCTTGGGTCTGAATAGCCCTCCCTGCACTGCCATGTTTACAGCAGGGGCTTGAATTCCCCTCCTCTGCAGAGAGCTCCTGGTCCAGCCATGTGGTCACCTCCTGCTGGGCCGGTGGGTCTCCCATCAGGCCTCCGCCTGGGCCTGTGTGACCGCAAACCTCTCAGGGGCCCAGCCCGGCCCAGGCCTTCTGCTCCGAGACCGCTGTACAGCAGCCCTCAAAGGAGTTGGCTGTCAGAAGGGGCCCTGTGCCCCACCTGGCACCAGGAAGGCCTGAGCTGACCCTGGTCAGTGGGCCCTGGGAGGCAGCGGGTGTGGGGAGGGGCCTGCCTGATGGAGGGGGCAGGTGAAGCGCCATCGGCCATCTGCCCTCTTCAAGGAGGGAAGGCTTCCCGTGCCGAGGCTGGGAGGAGCTGGAGGGGTGGCCACTGAGCTGTGGGCTCCACGGGGCTCCGACAGCCAGCCCTTCTCTCCCAGGTGATGGGTAGGGGACTAGAGGACTCTCCCCACCCACTCAGACTCCCAGGTGGTCAGACCCTCCCCAGCAAGTCTCCGGGTGCCCTGTTTCCCCTTCTGAGGCCCTCCAGTATTGGCCAAGGCCCAACCCTTCCTCCAGAACCAGGCATGTGGCCAGCCTCTTACCTTCCCCTGGTCCCCCCCCACCCCCAGTGGTAGGACCATGCAGGCCCAGGAGGTGTCAGGAACAGGCCAGCTCCCAGGGGCCACTTGTCCACATGGTTCCTCCTGGAGTGTGACTGTACCTAACACCCATCTCATAGGCCCACGGGCTCATGGGGCTGGGCGGGCAGGGGAGCCCAGCGTGCAGGCGGTCCAGGACCTCACCTGGCCAGGTGTGCTGGGGGGCCTGCAATCCTGCTTCAAGGACTTGGTCAGGTGGCACTGACCCACAGTCCTGGTCCAGTTGCAGCAGGGAGTGGGCCTGACTAGGCCAGCAACCGGGGTGAGGGGCTTCGGGAGGGCCTGGCAGAGTCAGAGGCCCAGTGGCTGCGTCCAGGAAACGGGCCCCACTTTTGTAAGCCCCCTGGAGTGGCAGCGCAGCTACCCTGAGCCTCACCCGCCGCCCCCTCCTCATCGTGGCGGTGGCGTGGCCTGGCCTCCAGCCCGCCCCGGGTGTGTTCCCAGCCCGGCGCACACACCTTACCTCGGCCCGGGCTCCTGGCTCATGCCACGCTGTCCGCCGGACGACCTCCCGTCATGGGGAGTCCGGCATGGGCGCCGGCGAAGCGGGGAGGGGGCCGAGGTGCTGGCCTGGCCGGCAGGGCCCGGCCGCGCCCCGCGCCCCGGCCTGGCCGCCCCCTCGGCGGCGCCCGGAGAGCAGCCCCCCGGCGGGAGAGGATCGGCCGCTCTGAACCTCCCACCGGGGAGGGTGAGGCGGTGCCCGATAAATACGGCCGCTGTGCAGGGAGCCGGGCGGGCGCCTCCTCCCTCCCCGCGCCGCCTCCCCGCGCCCCCCGCCCGGCCTCGCGCGCCGCGCCCTCGCGCGCTCCCGGAGCCGGGAGCCAATCCGGTCGGCGAGCCCGGGCGGGGGCGCCGAGGACGCCCAGCTCCGCCCCGCCCGCCGCGCCCACGGGCCCGCGCGGCCCGCACGCACCCCCGCCCCCTCGCCGCGGGCGTCCGCAAAATAACCCGGGCGCGCGGAAGGGCGGGCGGGGGCGGGGAGGGGCGGTGCACGGGGGCGGCGCGTGGCCGGGCGGCGGGCCCCGCCTGCACGCGGTGGTGGGGACCCCGAGCCCTCTGGTGCCGGGGGCTGGATCCGGGCTGCGCGGTGCGATGGGGATGGGCGCCGACCCCGCGCGTCCCAGCCCCCGGCCGGCCCCTCTGCGGAGCCGGGGCCGGGCGCTCTGGGCGGTCCCCACGTGTCCCGAGCCCCTGCTGGGTGCCAGGCCCAGGAGCCCCTTTCGGCGGGGACGCGTTCGCACATCCACAGGGCCGAGAAACAAGTGACCAGCTGATTCCTTCAGGATGACAAGTGCGATGAGAGGCCGCCCGGCGGTGACCTGGCGGGGTCCCCGGGCGCGACTCTCTAATGGGCTTTCGAAGTGATCCGGGAAGGGGTGTGAAGGGTCCCGAGACCTTAGCGAGCCTGGCAAGTCCCCTCTGGAGCGCACTGGAGGTGGGAGAGGGTGGGGTGGGTGGCGGGGCTCTGGGCCTCCCAGCGGGCTCAGGCCGAGGCTAACGGTGCCTGTCCTGGGGTCAGAAGTGGCAGAGGAACCCGGGGTGGGCAGAGGGGCGCCGGGGTGGGGGTCTTCGCATCAGGGAAGGTGCCTCGGGGCCAAGACGAAGGCCTCCCAGAGACAGGCTTAGCAGACATGAACCCAGTGGGTGTTTGCAATGTCCTGACAGGAAGCAGGGCCCAGCGGCGCTGGGTGAGTGGGGAGCCAGGCTGGGTGGGCCCTGGCTGGCACGGGGGGTGGGGTGCTGTTTCTGCTGCGTGGGGCACGGGGGGACCAGCTTGCCCTGGCCCCAGTGAAGACAGCTTTCCCCCGCGGCGGGCAATGAAGCCTCGGGGTCTTGCCACCAGGCTGACCCTGATCAAGGGAGGAGCTTGGCGCTGGCGGGCGGAATGGGTGCCTGAAGGCCTTCGGGGTGACCGGGACCCACCCAGTCAGCCCCGCATATCGGTCTGGACGGCTGGTTTTCCTGCTCAGCCTCCGTGGGGCCTTGACTGCTGGGCGTGCCCTGGATGCTCTGGGAGGCTCTTGCTCCTCGGCAGGTGCCAGGGTCTCAGGCAGAGAGCGACCTGCGCCCTCGCAAGGGCCAGAGAAGGGCCCCTGCCCTGGAAGAACCAGAGCACAGAGGGGCGCTGGAGGGCGGGAGGTGCTGGTGCCGCAGACCTGCCCCGAATACCTGTGGACGCCGCTGCACCTCTGCCACCCTCTCCATTCCATGCCTGGCACCTCCATCTCTCTCCTCCATGGCTGATGGCACCTACCCCCTCACTGGCCTCCCCTCCAGTCCCCCCCCATTCTCCCCACGGTGCAGAGGGGCATCACTTTACAAGGCACAGATGGTCCCCATTCTCCTGGAGCTCCGGTCTCCAGCCTGCTGGCCCACAGCCTTGCTCTCTGCCTGGCCCCTTGCCCTTGGGGCTTCAGCCACACTGGCCTTCCTCCAGGGCTGGAGGGCACCCCTTCCTCACTGTGAGCGCCCCTCACCAGGAGCACCGCTTGTCTTGATGCCTGGGCATTGAGTAGTTTCCGCAGTCCAGGCTGCTGGAGTTGTGAGAAGGTGAGGGCCAAAGGCTGTTGGCACAGCCTGCCCTGAGGCCTCACAGAGCTGAGAGGGAACCACTGTCACATCTGGGCATGGGGATGCCCACACGGTGGTGGTCACCCCTCGTGTGCTGAGGCCCAGGTCAGTGACTCTGAACAACCCTCGGTTTCTCACAGAACAGCCTCAGGCCTTTCCTTGGGAGACACTCACCCACCTGGGCCCAAATCCACCCTTCCTGGGTGGGACCACAAACCACTTCCCCTTCTGGGAAATGAGTCTGGGGTTCAGTGGGTGCCTGGACGGTACTAGCACAGCTTAGGTGGCAAGAGACCCAGGCTCAAAAGCAATCAGGCCAACTCTGAGGTTTCTTGCTGTGGAGCCACAGGATCACTGGACACCGACCCCAGCACCTCTGTCCCCACCCTGACACAGACGCAGGGGCCTCTACACCTGGAGAAGCCCACGTGGGGCAGAGGTGTGCTTGCCCCTCCTCGCCACTCCACAGCTAGAGAGGGTGCTCCCGGGGCTGAGAACTCACAGCCTGGGCTGGCCGCGGGGGCCATGGGTGGTGGAGGGCAGACAGTGGGTCTCTCTGCTGCCTTCCGGTCTCTACTCCCTGCCTCTCCTCCTCCTGGGACCCAAACCAGAACCCCCAGGGGCAGGGGGTGGAGCGGTCAGGGTTGAGGATGACTCAGGGCCCAGCTGTCACCATAGCAACTCTGTTGCCTAGCAATGGCAGTTTCCCAGTAACGGTTGTCTCCTAGCAATGGGATATTTTCCTGGGCCCTGGCTGGAGCCTGGCAGTTATTTTTAGCTCAGCTGCAAATCAATCTGCAGCTGCAATTCTGGCTCCTTGAGAAGATGCAAGGTGTGTGGTGGGGGTGGATTTCTTGGGAGAGGAGAACGTCCCCACGGCGCGAGTCTTGCCGACGCGCGTCCTAAAGTGCAGGCTGCTAGGTGGGCAAGGTCAGATTCCTTCTGACGGTGGGGCCAGGGAGTGGGGAGCAGGTGACAGGGAGCCAGAGATTGGGAAGGCTGCTCAGAGCTGGCAGACATGACTGCCTCCCTGAGGGGTCCCCGGGAGGGTTGGCCACCCCAGTACTCCAGGGCTCCCTGGGTCAAGTGGGTCCACCGTCAGAGTGTGTCACTGGGTGACCAGGTTCAGGTGGGCTCCTGGAACCCCTGGCCTTCAGTTGTGGGGGCTGCCTCTGGCCCTCAGCCCCACCCAGGGGTGTAGCACCTTGCCCTGGGCCAGCTGGAGTTATACATTTGGCGGTCCTGGCTGCAGGGGTCTGGATGGCCACAGCTCAGCTGGGGACACAGGTGGGGCTGGTCTTTGCTCACTTCATATGTCTCCCTGTCCCTCACTGTTGCTCAAACAGGATCCTGGGCAGGAGATTTTGGGCGTGTAGACCTGTCCACTCCTTGGGCAGGAGACCTTGACCCCATTTGCTGAGCTTTTTCTCCTTTTCTTTGGGGACTCTGTTCACTGTCCCCTCAAGGCCAAGTCCAAGCCCTCCACGCCTCCCACTGGCCACCTTCCTGGTTCTGGCTTGCCCTGGGCTCCCTTCTGTCCTGGGGGCCTTTGCCCCGTTTCCCAGGCCTGGGCCCACTTGCTGCCCTCATGATCCATCGACAGCCTTGACCACACACCTAGCTTTCATGTTGCTCCCCCAGCCCCTGGCCGGCCCTGCCTTGGTCACAGGTACCTCTTACTTGTACCCCCAGCGCTACGGGCTTCCTGTCACATGCCCTTCACCTTTGGGTTTGCCCCCTGCTGGTGGACAGGGATCACCTTGCCCCAGCATCACTGCATGACCTAGCTTTTGGGTGGGCATGGAAAGAGGTCCCTTTCGGAGGGGTCTGGAGATGGGGGCATGTGAAGGAGCCCCAAAACCAAGCACAGATGTGTGTGGTTATCCTTGGTTTGGGCCGCCATTCACTTTGCCGTTCATGCACTGGTGCATTCATTCCCACAACTGAGCGCCTGCACCCATGGCGTTTGGACCAGGAGATTCCCTGGGTGGGGCCATGAGCTGTGAGGTTCTTCCGCATGACAGTTTGCATAATCATGGGGCCTCTGCAAGAGGCTGGGCAGGGGGTCCGGGGGAGCCTGGAACTGAGGACACAGCTCAGGGCCAGGCATGTGCCCCTTCCACAACAGGTCACCTGCTAGGAATCCATCCCTTGTACCCATGGAACCTGGCCCATTCTCTGCAGGAGGGCCAGGGGTGCTGGTCTGGCCCCGGGGGTCTGAGGCTGACTCCTCACACTACCACCAGAGGGCACCTGGAACCCACTGTCTGCCTCGGAGCCTGGAGGGCGGGGACCTAATGATCGCCTCTCCCAGGGCGGCAGACTTCTGCTGGGATGCCCTCTCCCCTCCCTGCCGGCATCTCTTTTACCTTCCCTGTGCCCAGCCCCAGGCCCTGTGGTCCACTCCTTTTGTTTTTAACTGGGTAAAATACACATAAAACTTACCATCTTAACCGTTTCTAAGCGCACAGAGCCAAGCACATGCACACGGCTGTGACCGTGCCCCCCAATTCTGCGCCCTTTCTCGTCTCAGCGGGAGCTCTTCCCCGTGGAACACTGGGCTTCCTCCCCCCACCCCCAGGCCCCGCCGTTCTCCTTTCTGTCCCTGTGACTTTGAGTCCCCTCAGGACTTCCTGCAAGTGAATCCTCCAGTACTTGTGACTGGCTTATTTCCCTGAACACAGCGCCCTCAAGGTCCATCCATGTTGAAGCCTATGTCAGAATGTCCTTTTTAAGGCTGGATCACAGCCACTGCGTGGATGGACCATACCACGTTTACCCATCCATCGGGTCATGGCCAGTTGGGCTGCGTCCACATTCGCCTCCTGGCTACTGTGAGAGCCAATTTGCACCCCAGACAAGGGGCCAGGCGGCCCTGCAGGTAACCCCGCCTCTGTCCTGGGGTCAGGGGGCATGGCAGTGGTGAGTTCATCTGCCAGCGTGTGTTTCAGGCCCACGGAAGCAGGCAGGCCAGAGACACTGGCCGAGGGTCCACCCCTGCAGACCCAGAGTCTGTGCTGTTCCCACAAACCCAGGGCAAGGCTTCGGGTCCCACTGTGCCGTTGGCTTTGTGCCCGAGGCCTCTGATCTGACTGCAGCGTCTCAGCCCACTGCTGAGGGCCTGTCTGCTGGTTCCACAGCTCAGCACCTTTGCCAAGGCAGCAGCTCCTTCACTGCCTGGAATTCTCTCTGGTCCCCATCTGGCCCGCTGCTTCCCAGCCCTCCGCTCAGGCAAGGTCGGGCTGTTGGGCATCTCTGGCCGCATCCCCACCCCTCCTCCTTCACAGTGACCCTGGGGCATTTTGTCTTGGAGAGAGGGCCCCTTTCAGCCTGTCCGGGCATCCCGAGGGACTGATCCTGGGATTCAGGGCCGTCACTGGGGTCCTGCTTCCCCACGGTACCTGGTCTGTCTGCCCTCCCTCGGGAGAAGTCAGCAGGGCCAGGTTGGGCGGGATGGGGCTGGACGTCCAGGGACCCCTGGGAAAGGGCCACAGAGATGGGTCGCCCTCCCGCGAGCGGTTCCAGCGGGTACCCACCCACTCCCGCCCCAGCCGGGGGCTCGGCGGACTGCGCCCCGAGCACGACGAGGGAGGGGGTGGGGACCCGCGGGGGGGGCTCAGAGTGCGGAGCCCTTTGCGGGCGCCCCGCAGGCCGCAGGCTCGTTCTCCCGCCCCCGCGAGCGCCGCTGCTATTGGCGGAAAGTTCCGGGGCTGCGCCGCGATTGGCCGCAGCCCGGCCCACTGCCTCCAGCAGCTCCCCGGCGCCCGCGGGGCTGCGCAGCCCGGGCGTGGGGGCGGAGGGCGCTGCGCGGGGCCGGAGCCCGGGGCTCCCTGCGCCCGCGCGCCATGCTGCCCCCCGCGCTGCTCTGGGCGCTCTGCGGTGGCCTCTGGGCCGCGGCCGCCCGCGCCGGCTACTCGGAGGACCGCTGCCGCTGGAGAGGCAGGTACGACCCGCCGGGAGCCCGGAGAAGGCCGGGCTCTGCATCCTCGCCCGCGGAGCGGGTGCCGCCAGGCGGTCGCGGGACCGGCCGGGGAGGGGCCGTGGCCGCCCGCTCAGCGCCGCCCGTCCTGTCCCCAGCGGCCTGACCCAGGAGCCCGGCAGCGTGGGGCAGCTGGCCCTGGCCTGCGCGGAGGGCGAGATCCAGTGGCTGTACCCGGCCGGCGCGCTGCGCCTGACCCTGGGCGGCTCCGACCCCGGCGCGCGCCCCGGCATCGCCTGCCTGAGGCCGGCGCAGCCCTTCGCGGGCGCCCAGGTCTTCGCGGAGCGGGCGGGCGGCGGCCTGGAGCTGCTGCTGGCCGAGGGCCCCGGCCCTGCCGGGGGCCGGTGCGTGCGCTGGGGCTCCCGCGAGCGCCGGGCCCTCTTCCTGCAGGCCACCCCGCACCCGGACATCAGCCGCCGCGTGGCGTCCTTCCGCTTTGAGCTGCGCGAGGACCTGCGGCCCGAGCTGCCTCTGCAGGCCCACGGCCTTGGCGCAGATGGTGAGTGCCGGCGGGGCGGGCACGTCCCAGAGGGCGAATCTGAGGCCCGGTCAGAGGCCACACAGCTCCTGAGCAGCAGCGCCGGGGCAGGTCGGAGAGAGGGAGGGCCGATTTCTGGGCTCAGCTTAGGGGAAGAGCTGGCAGGGGGCAGAAGGAGTGGGGAGCGCAGGGCAGGCGGGGCATCCCGGGCCCCTTGTCCCTGAGGGGTTGGGGAAGGGGGTGACAGGGCACCGAATCCAAGCCTCCAGCGGATGCCCCTGGTCCCTGAGGGGTTGGGGAAGGGGGTGACAGGGCACCGAATCCAAGCCTCCAGCCAAAGCTGTCCAGGGCTCCCTGGCCCAGCAGTGACCTCCCTCCCCTCCCCCAGACCAATACAACAAAAGTCCAGTGTGAGCCGTAACCATGGTGACGCCGTCTGGCCTCCTGCAGGGCACTAGGCGCAGCTCTGCTCTCCTGGAGACTGCAGCCTGACCCCAAAGGGGTGGAAGTGTCTGTTCTGCCCCTGGCCCCCTGCTGAAGACCCGAGCCCACCCTTCCTCCTGCCACCTGGGCTGGGCCGGTGTCTGTTGGCTCCCAGGAGGAGGTCCGGGAGGCCCTGGGGGTCATGGCATGCCGTTTGCATGTGGGAGGTGGGTATGGGAGAACATGCACTTGCGCTCTTGAGCTGCAGGTGGGTGAGCCCCCTAGGCCCATGTCTGTGCACATGTGTGTTGTGCACATGTGAGCCTGCAAGGGTCACCCTGAACACAGGTGTCTTTAGGGTGTGTGCATACATGCTCCCTCCCTGGGATCCCCATTTGCCATCAGGCCCTGAGGGGCGTCTGGTTGCTTGTGTCACTCCCGCCTCTGGCTTGGGGGAAGGCCCCAGGTGGTCCAGGAGAGGACCTGGCCTTCGCCCACCCTCTCTCCCGTATGCCAGGTGCCTGCAGGCCCTGCAGTGATGCCGAGCTCCTCCTGGCCGCGTGTACCAGCGATTTTGGTGAGTTTCCCTGCTTCGTGGGGAGCCTGCCACTTGTCATCCCTGCATGCCACTGGGCAACGTGTTTTCTCACAGTGATCCATGGAACCATCCACGGGGTTGCCCATGACATGGAGCTGCAGGAGTCTGTTATCACCGTGGCAGCTGACCGTGTCCTTCGACAGAGCCTGCCACTCTTCTGGGTAGGGGGTTCTGGGGGCCAGGTGCAGGCCTCCATTCATACTCCATTGCAGTGTGGCGTCCGCCCTGGCCCTGGCACCTTCCTCTTCATGGCCTGGAGCCACTTCGGTGAAGCCTGGCTGGGCTGCGCACCCCGCTTCCAGGAATTCAGTCGTGCTTACATGGCCGCCCATGCTGACCGTCTCCACCCCTGTGAGGTGGCATTGGACTGAGGGGCGTGGGAGTTGGGTGCTGGGGAGAGCCTGGTGGGAGGGTGGGTGGGGAGGGGGTGGCCCCCAGATGGCATCACCGTACCAACTGCCTCCGTGGTAGTGGCCATAACCAATAAGAACATGGATTTCATCAGCTGCCACAGGCGAGAGTCCTGTCCTGAGCCCAGCCCTGGGCCCTTCACTGCGTGGGTGCCTCCTTCCACCCTGGGCTCTGCTCTGGCCCCTGCTTTGCAGAGCAGGGCACTGAGGCTTGGGGGCCGTGCTTCCTTGTCCAAAGCCACCCAGAGAGTGAGGGGAGAGTGGCCCCTGGTCATGCCCAGGGACGGCTGCTGCCCGGTTGGCGAAGGGAAAGCTGAGTCTCTGCCCTGCTGTTCCTGCCCACGATGCCAGGTGCTTCCTTGACTCAGAGCAGGAGTGGAAAAGAGGCTGTAGCTTCCAAGGTCTGAGTTGGGTGGGGTCCCGACAGGGTGTCAGGTAGGCAGGCAGGCAGACACCCCATCCGGCCTGCAAGGGAAGGGGTTGCAATCTGGCAGGGTGCCGACTCCCCTCCCTGGCCCGCCTTGAGCTCAGCAGTCACCCTGGCCTCATCCCGCTCCCGGGGAAGAATGGGCCTCTCTGTCCCGAGGGCCGTGCAACGTGCAGAGCATCCCGACGTGGTGTGGAGCAGGCAGGGTGTGGGATCCCCCTCAGGGTCCGAGTGCTGCCCATTTCCGGCGGGTGGGGGCACACAATGGGGTCTCTGAGAACCGGTTCCCACCACCAGCCCGATCGCCGCCGCTCCTGCCTTCCTTCTCAGCTTCACACAAAGGGTCAGCGCTGTTGTCCGTCCGGTCGGTGGGCACGGGGGGCTCCCAAACCCGGGATGAACTCTGCTGACCTCCACCCTCTGGCGCTCAGAGAGAGCCGCAGTTGAAGCCTGACAGCGCCTGGCTGAGCCTCAAACAGCTTCCCGTCCGTGCTGTTTCGCTGGGGAAGGCGCCGAGAATAGGGCTTTCAGGCAGGACCTGAGGCTGGCGGGAGACAAGGCTGTCCAGGGCCCACGCGGCCACTTCCTCCAGATCCAGCTGGCATGGGGCACCCAATGTGGTCATGCCCTGATGATACTTGAGTCACCTCCGGTGGCTGCCTAGGAATTTCCATGGGGTGGGCTCAAAACCCCACATGCACACCCATCTTACTTAGACTGCTTTACGGGGGGCGGGGGTGGCTGATGAGAACTGGGTGAGGAACACCGCAGACAACAGTACTGGGCCTCTTCCCGGCACCTACCCAAACTCCCAGCCGTGGAGTGCTCCGGGCTCAGGCCCCAGACCCCTTGCAGCTTTAGACTCCACCGGCGTGCTGATGACCCCTGGCCTGGATCTGTCTCCTGGAATGCAGACCCTTTAATCTCTGCTGTCCTCTCTCCACCAGGGAGTATCTCAGTAGAGACCAGAAAAGGACGGAGGGTGTTCTCTAGACCACCCATCCTCCTGTCTTGGGAGGCCCCAAGGAGGGCTTCCCTCCAGGGCTGAGCAGCACCCTCACCTTTGGCCTGATTGTCTGGTCAGCTCCCCACAGCCTGTTTGGAAGGAGGCCCCTGGCCACACTGTGAACTGCCTCACAGACCACCTGCCTACAAAAATATGGGCAGCTGCTCTGGGGTGGGTCCTGGGTTGGGCAGTGACGTCTACACGCCTGCTTGGGAGTCTCCCATGCACATACCCTCCCCAGAGAAAGCACTCTTTTCCCTCCCGGTGTGGGCACCCACTCTACTGCCCAGTTGCCCAAAGGCTGGATGTGGACGTGAGAGGGCCACACTGGGGGCCTGAGCAGGTGCATCAGTGATTCGACCATAGAGCCCTTCAGGAGCCAGGGGCTGCGTGAGCATCCCCCCAGCCGAGAGCCCTTCCCTCCTGGGGAGGGCTCAGGGGCAGCCAGAGAGACAGCGTGCTCCGAGCCAGGTGGGGCCGGGCCCCCGCAGTGCTCGCTCACCCAGATGTACGCGTTTCGGGGTCAGCAGCTGGGGCCAAGGGATGGAAGGTTCGTAAGGCAGTCTACATCTGGGGGAGGGAGACCGGCGTGCCCCACATCATCTGATGCAGCCTCTGTCCTGCTGGGGCTCAGGGCTGTGCAGGGGCCAGGGCAGAGCATGTGCGCACACAGGCCCCAGACATGTAGCCTCGGGGTGGGGTGAACAGGTAGTCCTGGCTCTGTCCCCCTACTTGCCTTTCCCACTCCCAGTTCGTGTTTGACAGGTCACCCCCACGGCCCGGCCAGCTGCCAGAGGCCCCCGTCTCACATCCGGCCGCCGCCGCCTCCCCCAGGGCCAGCATCGGCCTGCCCCACCGTGCTTTGCCAGCCCCCTCCTCCCGCCCCTCAGCTAGGCCGGCTTCCGGTGGCCTGGTCGGCACAGGTCCCCGCAGCGCCCCAAGACGAGCCCGGCCGGCCGCCCCGCACCCGCGGCGAGCTTCCCCCGCCGCCTTGGGCTGCACTCCCGGCAGCAGCCGTGCTCCGCGTCCGGCCCGCTACCCTGGGCGGCCCCCCTTCACAGGCCGAGCGCCGCTCTCTCGGGCCCCCGGCCGGGAGAGGCCCCGAGCAGGACGCGTCAGGGCCGGACCCCGCGGGGGCACCTCGCGCCCCCACGGCCCCGTGGCCTGGTACCCGCGGGAGGGGCTCCCCGGGGCCGCGTCCGCTGCCCCGCCCCTTCCGGCGGCGCCGCCGCGGGCTCGCTAGGCGTGCGGCGGGGAGGGCCGGGCACGGGGGCCACCCCAGCCGCGTGTCCCGCAGCCATGGAGGACGACCCGGCCGAAGCGCTGACGGATCTGCGCGAGCGGGCGCCGGGCCTGTTGGAGCTGCTGCAGGCGGCGGCGGGCTCGGGCCTGGCCGCCTACGCCGTGTGGGCGGCGCTGCTGCAGCCGGGCTTCCGCCGCGTGCCGCTCAGGCTGCAGGTGCGGGGCGGGGGCGCGCGGGAGGCCGGGCGGGCTGCGGGGAGCGGGGATGGCTATCGGACCCCGCCCGCCTCCCTGCCCAGGTGCCTTATGTCGGTGCGAGTGTGCGGCAGGTGGAGCACGTGTTGTCGCTGCTGCGAGGCCGTACTGGAAAAACTGTGGACCTGGGCTCCGGCGACGGCAGGATTGTAAGGACTGGGAGAGGGGGCGTGTCTCCCGTGACCCCCTCCCGTCACCGCCACCCCCTGGTCCTTCACTCCCCCCGCCCACAGGTGCTGGCGGCGCACAGATGTGGGCTCCGCCCAGCTGTGGGCTACGAGCTGAACCCGTGGCTGGTGGGGGTGGCTCGGCTGCGCGCCCGGAGAGCAGGCTGTGCAGGCAGTGTCTGCTTTTCCCGTGAAGACTTCTGGAAGGTAACCCAGGGAGTCCTGAGCCCCTCTGACCCCACACCTGGCCTCCACGTTCTCAGTTCTGGCTTGGTGACCCTGACACCCCAGGTGCCCCTGCCTCCTGGGCAGGGACTCAGAAGCCACCGTGACCCGTTCCCTGCCAGGTGACCTCTTCTTCCTGCAGGTGAGCCTGAAGGACTGCCACAATGTGTCTGTGTTCCTGGCCCCTAGCGTGGTAGGTCCGGGTCTTATCAGCTGTCCAGGGGAGGCCCATGAGGCCCCCAGTGTCAGAGCTGGGTGGGCAGCCATGTCTGCCCTGCCACCCACCCTGCTGCTCTCTCCCACAGCTGCCACTGCTGGAGGACAAGTTGCAGGCAGAGTTGCCTGCGGGGGCCCGCGTGGTGTCAGGGCGCTTTCCACTCCCCACATGGCAGCCTGTGGCTGTGGTGGGTGATGGCCTGGACCGTGTCTGGGCCTATGACATCCGTGGTGGTGGGCCGGCTGGGCAGTCTGTCCCGGGACCCAGTTCTGCCTCCGTCCCCAGGGTCCCTGCTTCTCAGGCTGGCTGACCGTTTGGACAAAATAAAGACTCAGTGGGCTCTGCCTTGACTCTTGTTGGGTAGAATGGTCCTTCAGGGTGTGGTGGGGGTGGGGGTGGGGAAGCTCTCCATGTTGGCTGCGAAGAGTTCTCCAAGTTTGTCCAAAGACCAGCTAGCGGCTGTGGGTCTCCAGGTGTGGGGGCTTGCCTGGCGGTGTGGCCGCCACTTTCCAGGGGTCCCTGGTACCCACCAGCTTCCTCAGCCTGAAGATCTCCTGCCTGTACCTGCTTAATGGAACCAGGCTTAGTCACCTGCCCTGCAGTGGACAAACCCTGCCCCTGGTGCCTGGGACCAAGGACCTCAGGTCCCCACCTTCCTTGCAGCCCACCTGCCCAGGTGCTGGTCCACATACTCCTGTAGCTCGGAGAGTTGCTCCTCAGCCACTGTGGCCCTGACTAGCAATTGGGCCCGCTCCCGTTCCAGCTCTGCCTGGTATGGGGGTACATAAACCATGGGCCAGAGCAAAATGTGAGGAGGGGACCCCAGCCAGACCTTGCCCATTACCTGGGTGCCACGGGAAAAGTCTTGGAGCTTCTGGTGGATCTGGGCCCAGGATGCAGCTTCCAGGCCCCTGTGAGGGAACAGGGAGAGGTGGACGTGAGGGGCAGCTCAGCCCAAGGGCTGATCAACGACCCCACTCAAGCTGGGGACTAGATCCTTGAGGTGCCTTCCGGGAGCAAGTGTGAGATGGCATGGGCCCACCCCTCCACGATGGACCTTGTCTGGGACCTTGGGGTTGTCTGAGCGGGACACTGCCACTTAAGGAGGGCAAAGCCACAAGGCCAGCTCAGCAGTGACCCCAACATCTGTAGAGATGCTAATGGAGGCCTCCCAGCCCAGGCTGGCAGTTTGTTTGCGTGGGTGGTGGGCCTGCACAAGCCCCTGCCCGTCGTACATTAGGAGACACGGAGGCCCAGTGTGAAGGTCACCGGGGAACCTGCTCCCACCCCAACCTGGGGCCAGGATCTCTGTTAGCCATCCCACCACACCTCTTCCTCCTTGGGGCCTCTGGGTCCCGACGGAAACGTCCCTCTCTCGGGGATTCTCCCTAACCTTCCCATTCAAGGTCAGTCCTGCTCCTGCCAGGCCCTTGGTTTTTCTGTGGCTGTTGGCAGTTCCCACACAGACCCAAGGGCACGATGGGCCACCTTGTTCACTGCTGCAACCCGATCCTGCCGAATACACAAACGCCCCCCTGCAGGTGCCCGCACACCTGCACCAGGGCACTCACTGTGGCTCGGATGTGGCCTGCTGGGAGGCTTCATCCCGTCCCTCCTGTGGGAACAAGAGCTGTGTGGTGAGCCTGCTGGTGGGCTATAATGGCTGCACAAGGTAGGAAGCCCAGAGGCCTTGGGGCTTTACTGAGCCTGCAATAGGCCCTAGGGTGTGTTCTGGGGCTCAGTGCCCCAGGCCAGTATGGGGCCGCAGGGGTAGGTTACCTGGGTCTTGAGCTTCTGGAGCTGTGTCTCCAGTGTTGCCTGGTCCTTCTGCAGGTGGCCGAGCTCAGTGACCAGGGGCAGGGGCAGGGGCCCCAGATGCAAGGTGGCTGCATCGAAAGTAGCCTCAGGGGTCCCAAGTGCCCCATGGGGGCCCACCAGCACCTGCCACACACTAAGCCACATGCCAGGTCACATGGGGCTAATACACCCAAGCGCCCATGTCAGGGAGGGGCCCACCTGTGGGTGACCAGCAGCTCCTCGTGTCTGCGGCTCAGATCTGCCAGGCGCTTGCGGTAGGCGCGAGCAGCCCGGGCCAGCTGTTGCTCACGGCTGTGGTGCGCCGTCCGGATGTCCTCCAGGGTGGTCTCCAGAAATGCCTGCAGGGCTGTGGCTGTGTGGCCTGTACCACCTGCGTGCTCCTGGAGACAGGCAGGGCCAGGGAGGGTGGGCTAGTTGGGCGCACTCCGGTCCCGCACCCCCTCCACGGGGCAGGTCTGGCAGCGCCCTGGGCCTGCCCCACAGGCTCCCCCTGAAGCAATCACACCAAGGCCAACTTTGGGCTCCCCGGGACCCAGAGGGCTCCCAGCCACCACAGGCCCACCCGGCTGAGTGCCTACCGCCGCGGCCCGGGCATAGTGCTGCAGCCGGAGGGCATACTCCTCACTCAGCTTCTTGAGCTGCTGCTGCAGCTGGGCATTCTCGGCCTCGGCCTGGCGGAGCTGGCCCTGGCAGGCAGACAGCACCTGGAGGTGGAGACCTCCTTGAACCTGTGTCCTAAGCGATGGGCCTCGAGGGGCCTTGGCTGTTTGTAGGGCCTCTCCCACCAGATCTCAAAGCACGCAGGGCTGTGCCTCACCAAGGCTTGTGCAGCCAGTCGCTGCCCAACTGTTCTGGCCTCCTCTCGGGCTCCCTGCAGCTGCTGGCCCAGGGCTGCCCTGTGGACACGGGTGTCAGGCTCAGCGAGGCCCAGGACAGGGGACTCTCTCTGCCCTTTGGGAACAGCTACACCTTGCACTACACACTGCCGGGCCCTCCCTGCTCCGGGTGGGGCAGCCACTCACACACGTGTTTCCAGTGCCTGCCGCAGGGCCCTGTCGTGCTCCGGTGCCCGCTTCTCTTCTTCCTGCAGCTGTAGGGGCACAGGGCTGCCTGGCTGAGACCTCAAACTCCAGGGCCCCTGCACTGCCCACCCCTACCCTGGGCTAGGCGGCTGCTGCTGGTCCTCAGGCTCTGCCTGTGCGGAGAGCTGGTCCGAGCTTCCCAGCGCCTGAGGATTCGCGTGGCTCCCTCCCGGCCCACCCAGACAGACTCTCCTTTGGCTTGTGGTGACCTGGACTCTGCAGTGGTCAGACCGTCCCTGACCCCTGGCCTCTTGCCCAAGCTCCTGTGCTGGTGCCTGGCGGGGCCTCTGATCTCCTGCTTCTGGGATTGCACGCGCTCTGTGAGCCTCCAGCTCCAGCTCCAGCACCCGGTGCTCCAGTTGCAGGACCTGAATGAGCAGGTGCACCCGTTCACAGGGCCACCCGGTGAACAGGCCGGCATCCGTCTGGGCACACAGGGACACAGCACACAAGGGACAGGTGGGGACTTGTAGGCACTGCATTGAGTGTGCACGACCTCACAGGGCACACCTGGGCCCCTCATAGGTATGCACGGGCCCCCTGTGCTCAGGCCAACACACGTCAGTGCCCACCTCGCTCTTCAACTCAAAGACCTCAGCCTCGTGCCGCTCCTGCAGCTGATGGGCCCTGGTCTGCAGTGCGACCAGCTCCTTGGAGATCTGTGGGTGGCAGGGTGAGAGGTGGTCCCTGTGGGACCCTACGGGTGCCCTCCCTCCTGCCAGCCCCCAATACCTGCAGCTGCTGTTCCTCACTCAGCTCTAGATCTGAGGGAAGCTCTGTCTCGTGGCTGGTGGCCCAGGCTGAAGCACCCTCAGTGACACCCAACAGCCAGTCCTCGGCCTGTGGCAGAACCTGGGGAGGCAACACCACCTGTCCCCTGGGGGTATCAGGCCTGGGCGGTGGCCTCGGCTCCCATGGATTCACTGGCCACACACCATACACTCAGCCTGGCTGAGCTGGGCTGGGGCAGCCCCTCCCACATACCAGGATCGGGCACGGGACATGGGTGCCTGCACCTCGCCTGTCCTCTGAAGGGATAGGGCACCCCCAAGTCCCTCAGCATAAGCAGCAGACTCACTTTTTCCACGGCCTGAGGAGGGGCCCCCGACTTGAGTCTTGTGGCCGCAACGCCCTCCATGGGCACAGGGAGCTCCAGCCGCCTCAGCCCAGCGCTGCTTCGCCCCCTGGCCTGTTGTCGCCACACGGTGGCTTGTGTTGCCAAGGCCTCTGCTGTTCCCCCGGAGTCTCCAGGGTCCCCACCCGCAGCGGCAGGCAGGGCAGTTCAGTGGTTCAGGGGGGGAAGTCTCAGCTCCTTCCATATACGGCAAGCCATTCTTCCCAGCTTCCGTTCCTCATCTGGGGAGCGCAGAGCAGCGCCCGTGCGTTTATCCGGGGCACGGATGCAACCAAGGGTGTAAGAAGGCGCCCAGCCTGAGGAAGTGGGAGACACCGCGTACAGAATGGGGCTGTTCCTGCTGTCCTCACGCGGGTACCCCGCCTACCAAGTGGGTGCGCACACTCAATTACGAAGTGCCTCCTTGTACCTCCGCGGTGCTGGCTGGAAGGTACCCCTGCCGCAGCCCGACGGAGGGGCGCGGACGTCCCAATCAGGGGCCCCGGAGCTCGGGAGGGGGGGGGCAATGGCTCCGCCCGGGAACCAGGAGGACTGCTCGGAAGGGGCGTCGCAACACCGGGCGCAAGGGCGCCGGATGTGCGCGCGGCCCCCCCCCACAGGGCACGTGCGCTCCCTTGTGCACACGCGCGCTCCCTGCGCCAGGCTCTGGTGGCCGCCGCGTACAGCTCTGGGCCGGCCGGGGGCGGTGCGTCCGGGAGCGGGCGGTTGGCGGCGGCCCGAGCGCCGAGCTGCTGCAGCCCCGGAACCGGCACCGAGGCCCGCCTTGTCCCGGCGCCGTTCACGCTGTCCAGCAGCCGACTGGCACAGCCCGTGAGGGTAAGAGGGGGGCCGCGGCAGCTCGAAGGGGGCGCACGGGGAGGCGTGGCCCGGAGAAAAAAAACGCTTCGCGGGGCGGGGCCTCGGCGGTGGGCGTGGCCCGCGGGGCGGGAGCTCGGTTCCCCAGGAGGTGCCCGGGCAGGGGGCGGGCTCCCCTGCTGAAGCCCAGGGTTGCGCGTGGAGCTGACCCCTCCCTGCGCAGCCCTGCCTACGTTTGGAGAGGAAAGCTGCCGCCCCGAGGAAGGGGCTCGGAAGGCCTGGGTCGGCGCGGGGTGGCTGCGCTCTGAACCATGAGGGTCAAGGTCATCCCCGTGCTTGAGGACAACTACATGTACCTGGTCATCGAGGAGAACACGCGGGAGGCCCTGGCCGTAGATGTGGCCGTGCCCAAGAGGGTGAGGGCAGGCTTCGCACGGACGGGCCGGCCGGCCACCCTCCTTCCCGACCACCCGGTTGGAACTGAGCGGCCCCGTGTTCCTTGACCGCGCTGGGCCTCCCCTGAGGTCAGGGCGGCCTCGGAGCTCCCTTTCCCTTCCTCTCGTCTCTCTCCGGAACGCACCGGCTGCTCAGTGATTGCCGGATCTCCTGCCCCGCCCGGGGCTCTGTGCACCCCTAACTTGGCGCCCCATTATGGGGGGCCATCTGGACCGTACGCATCTTCCTAACTCCCATCATTTTCAGCTGCTGGAGATCGTGGTCCGGGAGGGGGCATCACTGACCACCGTGCTGACCACCCACCACCACTGGTGAGCGTGGGCGGGGCGGACCGAGGAGCGAGGGAGGGCGTCGCCCGAGGCCCTGTCCCACCCCGGGCGTGATCCCGCCCTGCCGTCCGCAGGGACCACGCGCGGGGCAACGCGGAGCTGGTGCGGCTGAACCCCAGGCTGGCCGTGCTGGGCGCCGACGAGCGCATCTGCGCACTGACCCGCAGGCTGGCCCACGGCGAGGAGCTGCGGGTGAGCGGCGCCCAGGAGGGCAGGAGGGGGCATCCTGGGCCTGCATGCCTCACAGACCCTCCTACCACCCTGCTGCAGTTCGGGGCCATCCACGTTCGCTGCCTCTTGACTCCCGGCCATACTACCGGCCACATGAGCTACTTCCTGTGGGAAGACGAGTGTCCAGACCCGCCGGCGGTGTTCTCAGGTTCGGCTGCCGGCGCCCCCCAGCCCCACCTCCCTCTGACCACGCCCCACCTTTCCTGACCTGCCCGCCTCCCCAGGGGACGCGCTGACCGTGGCAGGCTGTGGCCGGCGCCTGGAGAGCTCAGCTCAGCAGATGTACCAGAGCCTGGCCAAGACCCTGGGCACCCTGCCCCCCGAGACAGTGAGCGGCCCGTCCCTCCCGACACAACCCACATGCACACTTTGCACTTGCCCTGTGCCGGGGTCCAGAGTGAAAGCTCATCAGCCCTGGAGATTGGGTGGGCGGGTGTGGGGGTGTGACAGGTGCTGGGTGGCCGGGGTGAGCACCACCCCATCTCTGCCTGTGGCACAGAGTGCACCCCCAGTGCATCCTTTCTCCAGAAGGTGTTCTGTGGCCACGAGCACACGCTGGCCAACCTTGAGTTTGCACAGAAAGTGGAGCCCTGCAATGACCACGTGAGGACCAAGCTGTCATGGGCCAAGGTGCAGCCTTTCTTCTCTCAATGGCGAGGGTGGGAGGGGGGCTGGGACCCAGGATGGACACTGCAGGGGAAGGGGGAATCTACCACCACTGGCCTGTGTGACCAGACCTGGCTTAGCCTGGGGGGCTGCTGCCCAGCACTCCCCTAAGGGTGGGGTTAGCCTTAGACAGGGATCCTGGCAGCCTGCAGGATTGGCTGGGGCCAGACCAGGGAAGGCAGCCCCTTCTCTGCTCCCACCCCCAGGCTGGGGCTGACCCCAGCCAAGGTGCCTGGAGCTCTCAAACAAACCTGTGTGTGACAAGAGCCTGTGGTCATTCCAGAAGAGGGACGAGGATGATGTGCCCACGGTGCCGTCCACTCTGGGCGAGGAGCTCCTTTACAACCCTTTCCTGAGGGTGGCGTGAGTACTGGCCCACATCCCTGGACTTCCTGCGGGGCAGGCTGGGAAGCATGCATCTGAGCCTGACCCAGGGTGGCTCAGGAGGCCCAAGGCCCTCCCTGGCAGTGACTTGGACACTGAGGGACATGTCAGGGACCGGTTATCGGGCCGATGGAACTTAAGTGCCCTCTGCCAGTGCCTGCTGAGCAGGCCCCCACGAACCCCCTCTCGCTGCAGAGAGGAACCTGTGCGCAAGTTCACAGGGAAGGTGGACCCAGCTGAGGTCCTGGAGGTGCTCTGCAGGGAGCAGACGAGCTTCGAACGGGTGGCCGAGCCGCTGCAGCCGCAGGCCCGGGCTCTCCTGGCGCTGCAGTGGGGGCTCCTGAGCACACCCCAACAGAAGTGAGCTTCGAGGGGGCCAGTCAGCATGTCCTCCTCCCTCAGGCCGACTGAGCCCACTGAGTGGTGCCTCTGGACCCTCTGCAACCCTGCCCAGTCAGCTGCCTGGCTTCGGGGCTTCACTCTGGCACTTCTGGCAACAGACATGGAGGGCTCCTTACCGGGGTGTTTGTGAGCCCCGAGACCTGTGTGCTGGGGAAGAGGCCTACTGGGGTGCACAGGGCTCCTGCCCTTTGAATAAAGCTTTGGAAGGACTCTCTGTTGGTACCGGCAGAGATGATCAGAATAGTTCTGGGAGAGGTTCTTTATTTGAGGAGGAGTTAGTGGGGACGGGCCTGGCAGGCACAGTCCACTCTGCCCTTCCCTGCATTTGTACAGGGGATCCAGCCGTGGAGCTAGGACCTGGCCGGCATGACCAGGGAGGCCCGGCCCTGATGTCCCCACTGGAGCTGGGCCCAGAGAACACAGGTTCTCAGGCGCTGGAGGCCACAGCTCCATCAGAACAAACACCTGGTTCCAGGTGGAGCAGGCAGCCATCCCTGCCATGGTGTCACGGGCTGCGGGCCCCTTTCGTGTCCTCTGCTGTCCCACACAGTGGGGCTCCCCACAATGGCCTGTAAGCTCAGCCAGCTGAGCCCATTGCTGCCCTCCACAGCTTAGCCTCAAGGACTCTAGAAATGCGTGAAAAAGAACCCCCTTTTGCTCTGCCTTAAGGTCCCCAGGGGACAGGCACGCCTCAGATGCTTGGGTCACCAGCACCAGGAGAAACAGGCACTGCCACAGCCTGGGCTCAGGAGAGGCTGCAGCACCTTGGGGAAGCTCCAGCGCCCACAGTGGGAGTTGGAGAGCGCAGGCTGCAAACTGTGGGTTCTGTCTTGTTCCTACTCGGTCCCAGCATGTTTTCTGCAGCTCATCATTTGGGGAGCACTCCCTGGGGTCTCGTCACACCCTAACAGCCTTCCTGGGAGTCCCAGTGCTGACCACGGTGGGCCTGGCTGACTCTCGAGGTCCCCTACCACCGGATACTGAGGCCAGAAGTGGCCTTCTCCACCGCGTGGTACTGTGTGTGCAATAGGCGGGTGGCGCGCTCTGAGCTCTCACCCTGCAGCCAGTGCTCGTACAGCTCCTGGACCCCCGGCACGTCTGCTGGCACCTCTGTCCTGACCATGTTGTACAGCCTCTCCACGTGTTGGAGGAGCTCCTTGTTGGGCATGTCAGGGGCCTGGAGCTGGCCCCCACCATTCAAGCAGCCTGTGACAGAGCAGCGCAGGCAAGGGTGTGGTCACCAGGAAGGGCCCCTTCCCAACTCTGGCCTTCCTGAGGATGGTCAGGAGGGGGATGGCCCCACTGCCCCCAGCCCTGGTCCTACAGGGGCCCCCACGAGCCTGTGCAGTGCAAGTGGCCCTGCTGTAGCTACCTGCAGGGCAGGCCATGACCTCCACATAATGGTAGGGGCAGCGCCCTCGCTTGAGCTTCTGCACCAGGTTCTGGATGTTGCGGAAGCCGTAGGCAGCAGCAAAACGCAGCAGGACGCGGCCTTCCTGCTCCAGGGTCACCTCCTGGAAGTCCTTGTTCCTGATGCAGCACAGCCCAGGCCTGTCCACACTCCCAGCCCAGGACCCCTCCACTCCCCACCCTGCAGCCACGTTGCCAGCGTAACCCAAACCTGGCTGGGGGGCAGTGATGGGGGATGGTAGAAGGCTCACCTGCAGGAGTTGGGCGGGGGACCCCCCCCCCAAGCCTGTTCCCTGATCTGCAGGATGGGGGTCTCGGCTCCCGGAGGACAGCAGGCCCTAGCCCTCCTGTGAGGTGGTGCATTGTGCCAGGGCATGCCCTGTGCCGGGCACACTGCCCTGCCACCGTGTGGCCGGGGACACTGATCCTGGGGATGAGGCTGAGGCTTGGGGAGCTCTGGCCACTCAAGGTGGAGGAGGGCCTGCTGCTTGGTGCCTGAGCACCACCATGCCTGCCTCAGCAAGGGGGCATAACTGGGTGGCCATGCCCGACTCCAGCCCTTCTCGCTGACCTCTGGGGTTTGTAGGTGACCTCATCCACATGGATTCCAAATAGCTCTTGGGCTGCATGCTGGAACACGTGCGCCAGGTAGCCCCCTGAGCCCCCGCCATGGTGGCTGGTGGGCTCCTGGGAAGACACACTGCTGCACCTGGGGAGGAGGGTATAGCCTTGGGTGGCAGATGGGCCGCCTTCCACAGATGGCACCTGTCCCATGCTGGAGGGTATTTGTTTTCTAAGTGGGAGGTGAGTCACAGGCCCCTGGGGGCTTTGTCAGTGTCAAAAGGCCATTCAGGCAGGAGAGGAACTCTCCGCTCTGCTGAGTCATCTTTTCAGGGGAGCTCAGACCTGTACCAAGTTGGGGGCAGCTCTGATGACCTTCAGTTAATAGTCCGTGACCCTGACCACCTCTGTGGACACCGAGACAGACGACAGGGCAGACGTAGAACAGACAGTGCACAGCGTGGTTGGGAAGACACTGCCCAGCCCGCATTCTCACACGTGCTGCCCGCCAGGATGCCTGTGGCCTCTGCCACGGCAGGTGGCGACTTACAGACTGTCCAGCGGGGCCGCCTCCAGTTCTGACAGCAAGACGCCTTCCTCCTCCAGCAGCCTGAGAACTTCTCCTGTGAAGAAGCCGCAGCCGGGCCTCAGCGCCACAGGACATGGGAGGACACCTGTCTGCAGGCCCGGCAACCTGTGATCTGGCCCCAGAGCCCCAGGTGTCCAGCCCCAGGTGTCCACCCCCTGGACTGCAGGGGACAAACCCATCCACAAAGGTGAGGAAGGACTCCTCTTCTGAAGACCTTCGGGAGACCAGCCCTGCTCCCCCAGGGCTGCAGCCCACCCCCCTGCTCAGCATGAGGGGGACCAGAGTGTGTGTTCGCACAGGGACACCTTTCCTCGGCTTGGATGCCCAGGTGTTTATTTAAAGAATTCAGGAGGCTCTGAGGCTGCTCGACTGGGAAACGGCAACGGACGTGAAGCAAGAGGCTGACAGGCCGCCCTGTGCAGACTGTCTCAGAGCAAACGCTGATGGAGCACCCGGCGACCCACAGGCTGCAGGTCCCCTAGGGTACGGGACAGCTTCCAATGCCAATAGCTCCGAGGGGAGGGACACCAGGTTGGCCCTAGGGCTCTGCACAGGGGGCCACAGCTCCCAGAGCCCAGGGGCAGGACCCAGGTGCTGTCACCCTGTGCTCAGACCACACCTGGAGGCCTGGGGGCTCAGAGTGGTGGGACCCTCACCTGTTGTGACCACGCAGTCCACGTCACGCGTCTGATGCTCCTGGCTGAAAAAGTCAGGTCTGGACGCTTCCAGCTTCTTGTCGTAGCAGGGCATCACTGTCACGTGGTAGATCTTGTCAGGGGTCAACTGCTGTATGGGAAAAGGAGCTGCTGCCTGACCCCAGCATAATGGCGCCTGTTAGGGGAGGCAGGGAGACAGGCCCAGCCAGGAGCACAGCTGGCCAGCAGCCAGGGTGTGACCACAACTGTTTAGATCCATGGACACAAATGGTCCTGGCTCATCTCTCGGGACAATGGCTCAGAGTCCGCAGTCGGAGTGTCCTGTTACCTGCTGCTGGGCAAAGAAGTCCTTGACCAGGGAGCCCATGACCTGCTGCGGGGACCGGGCGGTGCTGAGGTACGGGATGATGAAGCTGCCATGGGTCTTCTCTGCGTAGCAGATCCAGCCTGAGGCCGACAGGAAGTAGCGCCTCAGCAGGGACAGGACATCGTGGGGGTGAACAAACTTGCACGAGGGGTGATGGTCCCCTTAGGGATGTCCCCACTCCCTCGTCACCATCACGGGGTTCTAGCATCCACGTGATCACCGTCTTGGACGGATGTGCCTGCTGGTGACCCTCAGGGCCTCACCCCTGGCTTTTTGGGGGCCCATAGCATGAGCACACCTGGGCAGACGGATGTCAGCACAGGTAGGGCCTGCCTGTGGTCGGCCTGTCCTCGGAATCGCCGCACGAACTCTCGCTGGCTCTCGAGGAGACTGAAGTTCCTTGAGAAGGCAGTATCGAACACGTAGTGCACCCCTGGAAGGCAAGCGCCCAGAAAGGATGCCCTTGGGAGCAGGGGCTCTGCCTTCCAGTGGCTCCGCGGCTGTTTCCACAGGGGCTACGGGAAGCACTCGGTTCCAGAGCGTCCTGGGACACCACGTGTTGGGTGCTGCCCAGGGCCAGGCCACACCCGTGGGGCCTAGTTCCTGACACAGAAGTCAACCAAAGTCCCTGACAGGCCTGGGAATGTGCACTGACAATTCTAATTTAAAAAGGATAGGAGGGGTGGATGAAATCTAGGTCAGGAAAAGGCTGGGTCAGGGCTCAGATGAATTTCCCTTAAAGGGCACTGTTCCCAATCGCCAAACTGAAACTTTGGGCCAAAGTCAAACTCCAGACAGCATGCCGGGTGTGTTTAAATTCAGTGACTTGGAGACATGAAGAGACCCCCCCAGGTCCCCTGCTCTGAGCTGCATACATGCAGAGATTCCAGACCTACCTATTTTTTTAAAGAATGCAGTTAATTTCCCAGCGGTATCTGCAGGATGCAGCTGGAACCTTGCAGCCAACGATGCTCTGGACTGGGGTGAGACCGAGACGACCACCAGCCTCTGCTGGCCCAGGGCTGCTGTCTGCTAAGGAGACGCAGCTTATGCTGTGTGCTTCATACAGATCCCTATGGGGCTCCACTCAGGTGTGTCATTTTTGTGTACTTACAGAACCCAAAGTTTAGGGCCCGACATTTTAATGTCAAAGTCCTGACGAGTGATTACTTGGCTCTCATGGACTGAGCTGCCCTTGAAAACCCTGCAGACTGGGGTTCATGCCAGGTCTGGGTATCTGGGTAGTCGGTCACTTACCTTATTGGCATCTAGAATCTTCCGCAGCTCCTCGTGGCTCTGCTGAGTGATGAGCACGGTCTCTGCTGAGGTGACGCAGCCACTGCACGCCAGGCAGTCATCCAGTGAGATCTTGGCCTTCTCCAGCCTCTGGGTCCCTCCGTCCTGGAAGCACGAGAACCCGGTACACAAGGCCCCTTTGCCCGAGGACACAAAGCTCCCGAGTGAATGGAACCTACAGGACATCAGTAACCTACGTGGTAGCTGGCTGACCTGAGGTGCCACTACATTTTTAAAAATTAAGTATTTATTACAAAAATACTTATGCACACTATAGATTTAAACAGCACCATCAAGTTCTAACTCTGGCTTGAGCTCAGCTGGCGCATCAGAGCCCTGTTAACATAAGGGCAAAAGCAGCCGCCAGAAGGGCAAAGGCGGCCATTAAGCCTGCAGAGAAGCGGCCAACTCAACCCAGGAGAGGCAGAGGGGTTGCTGGTCCCCACGCTGCACTCACATGGCTGCAGAGAAGGCACCAGAGGCCAGGCTCTAAAGGGCAGAGGAAGGACAGACGGGCATTGGGAAGAGAGGGCAGGAGCCCGGGCTACTGCTCTGCACCTGAGGAGTTGGTAAAGGATGCAGTCAGGTTCAGCCACAGACACAAAGCTTGTTGCTCAAGTTGGCCTGCAGGCTTTTCTCAGATGCAGATGATCCCCAAGGGGGCCCTTCACTCCCTCTGCAAATGCAGCAGCCGTCTGAGCCAGGGCCAGGTGAGCTGCAGGGGCCCAGCCTGTGACCAGAGGGCTGAAGAGACTGCAGCTCCCTTCCAGCCCAGGTCACTAGGCCTGTGCTACACACCAAAGGCACGATTTGAGCTCAGTGCATATTCAACCAGAGGCCCGAAGGCCCAGCCTGTGATGCTGTTCTGAGGAGGAGGCCGATGAGCTTCCCGACTCCCCAGATCAACAACACTGCTCTGGGCCGTGGGGCTCACGGGCACCCCCGCCTCCTCTAGGTCCCTTCATTCATGGGACTCCTCCTGAGGCGTCTTCCTTTAAAAGACTGCTGTGCCATGCTGTGCCAGGCTCAGGCAGTAACACTCGTGTGCCATGGGGTTGCCCTCTGTTCACGCTGGGTCCTGCCCCACCCTGAGCCCCCTGTAGTTCTTCCCTGCTCAGGAGAGGTTCCTCGGATGGAGTCCCAGTGCCTGTGGCCCGTGGGATGGCATGGATGTTCTTGAGAGACCAAACGTCAAACAGTTGGGGTGAATTTTAACACCATTAGATCAGAGTATCATCATTGCTCAACTGTACAAGAAGTAGGTATTCACTAAGAACAAGGGGTCTGAACTTGAAGATCTCACACAATTAGAATAGGAGAGAGGGAGGGAGGGGGAGTGGGGAACCACCATTTCTGCAAAAAAAGCCCCTCCGTGGACCACTCAGTTCCGTGCTCTGTCCCTGTGCCACTTCCCCGCCCTCCCAGCTTCCCGATGGCCGGTGAAATTTGACGTGGGAGAGGACTGGTGAGACGTGCAAGCCCTCATGGTCCCTGCACTATGACTGGACAGAGCAGCGAGGCGTGTTCCAGGTCATCCAAGCTGAAACTTACCTGGCTGACTTGGAAGTAACTCCCATCATCTTCGATGTGGATCTTCGCCACGCCACGTCGGGGCCTCTTGTCCACCTTCATGGGCTTGATGCAATCCTGTGCCAGTACGAGACCCCAAACAGGGGCCTGAGTGTGCAGAAGAAGGGTGCCCTGAAGGGACGAGACCCTGCCCTGCCTCCTGTCTTCCTGCAGAAGCAAGCCTAGTGATGTGGCTGCTTACCCCCGATGCAGCTGGCACACATTCTGATGCCCTGCTGGTACCGAGGGTTACTCTGCTGCTGCAGTCTGATGAAGTCAGTGCTAACTTGGCCTGGCCACCCCTTGGAGGGCCAATGGCCAGTCACAAGCTTTGCTTGGAGGACACCTCCCTGTCCAGTGCCCTGGATAAAAGTTCATTTCTCTCCCCACGTCCCTGAATCCCTGCGGTCTCTCTCTTCTTCACTCTCAGAATCTTCACGGGCCATCACGTTCCTGAAAATGACCTGCCCCAGGAAGGCCTGGCGGGAGTCCCGTCTGAGCTCATCCCTGCCCAGGGCGCCCCTCCTCCCGGGACCCCCGCCTAAGGCCCGCCCCTGAGCCCTGGCCCATGGGTTGGCACCCCGATAAGAGCGCCTTACCCTTAAGGGCAAGCTCTGCCTTCCCCCCCCAGCCCGGCCCCTACGTTGACCACACACCCTGACATTTCCTGGGCAGCCACAGCGCGTGACTCCAGCGACAACCGCCCCTTCTCTTGAAACTGAGGTGGGACTGCCCCCGTTTACGCAAAAGAAACTGCCTCGGAAAAGCTGCGCAGGGTCCTCCCGGCCCCAGACCAGGCCCGCCACTCCCCCTCGGGGTGGCTCTGGCGGCCCCCGCCGGGTCCCTCCGGGCTCCGCGCGCCCCCCTGTGACGGCGGCTCCCGCTCTCCCCTCCCGGCCGCTGGCTGGCGACCCCGCCCCGAGCCCTAGGCCTCGACTTCGCGCGCCGCCCGACGCCCTGCAGCGCGGCTACCGGGCGGGCCGCCCTCCCCGGCTCCCCGGCTCCCCGGCTCCCCGGCTCCCCGGCTCCCATTCGGCCGGGGGCTGGCCGAGCGCGGGGCCGCGCGCGGGTCCCGGGGTTCCGGTCCCATTTTCATGGGAGAAAATGAGGCGGGAGGTGCGCCCCGCGCACGGCCGTCACCCGCCCGGGCTGGCCCACCTGCGACGGCCCGATATAGTCGTCCAGGTCCGTCAGCCGCAGCACCCCGCTGAAGGGCGACGCCATGTCGGCCACGCTGCCGTGGGGCACCGCGCACAGAGGTCGCCAAAAGGCGCGAAACGACACGGCTATTCCGCCACGGTGCCGGAAAGCGCTTCCGCGCCGCGGCGCATGCGCACCTGGCCCCACGACCGGGTTCCTGGAGGCGCGCGCCCCCTGCCGGCGGGCCCGGTCCCACGGAGGAGACGGCGGGCGCCCGTCACCCTGCCTGCCTCCTGCTGGGCGCGGGCGCCTCGTGGACAAGAGGGACATCTCCCTCCGCAGCGCTCGCCTGCCGGCCAGGTGTGCAGCTTGCAGAAGCCGCGGCCTTGCTTTGCGTGGTCCTGGACGCAGCCCAAGAACCCAAACGGCGCCTTACTCAGTGTGGGTGCCCAGTTTGTACTGAATAGTAAGGAAAGGATAGTGACAAGGGTAGGGGGCGCTTCCTCACCATCCCGCGGCTCAGTGCAAGACCTGGGGTCCTCCGCCCACCGCCTCCGACACTCTCTTCTGTTATTTTGGAGACCAGCCTGAGAAAACTCCATTTCCCTGTAAGAATTTCTAACCTGAAACAGGACTGCTGCTGGTCGGACTCAACTTTTGAGCTGTTGTAAATCGTGTCAGTTACATAGTCAATGACCACTTTTTACTGGGGCTCCCAAGGAAACAGTGGCGGGGTCTGGCTCGTCCGGGAGTCCACCTGCCCCCCCCGGGGGGTGCCCTGGCAGGCTCAGCCTGGGAATGGCGGCCACAATCTCACGTCCCTGAGGGCCCAGCCTGGTCTGTGTTCTCATTGTCTTGGGGTTCTTGCCCCAAAGTGACTCTACCTGGCGACCCCTGCACCTGTCTGTGGCTTTACTGTGAGGTGCGGGGACCCAAGGCCTGCCTGCTATGGGTGGGGTGTTTCGTGCCCTTGCAGCTGCACCTGTTGGTCCCAGCACAGGGCCTTCTTTCTCGGCAGCTGTCCCGGGTGGGCTCCCAGTTCCCACCGGTCCGCCATCCTGACAGTCCCTGACCAGGATGTGAGATACGATGCCTGAATCTGCACCATCCCACTAGTTACCAGAACTAGGTGAGCACAAAATAGACTTAGTCTTGCCAAAATGCCCCAGTCAGTTTACAGACAATGTGTGAGTAAGTGCCATTGGGATTGGGGCACGATGAGGGTCTGTTAGGCTGGGATGATGGGGGCGATTTATAGCAGAGAGGGCTGCGGTTGAGGCTGGGGGACAAAGGGTAGTCGCCATCTGGGGTGAGGGGTGGTTTCTTCTGACACTAGAGGGGCGACTTTGACGTGCAGATATGCAGGGCAGGCTTCAACCTTTCTTTTCCCAGAGCCCAAATCTGTAAGAGCAGACCAGGGGAGCAAGGACAGGCAATAGACAAATGGTGGGAATGGCTCAGCGCCCATCAGCAGAGGAGCAGATAAACACGCTGGTCCATCCACCCAGAGGGATACAATTCAGCCTTAAAAGGGCAGGAAGCCCTGACATGTGGATGGACCCTGAGGACCTCACACTCAGTGAAAGAAGACGCAGAAGATCATGCAGCATGTGGCCCCACTTGCACCAAGTGTTCAGAACACATGCATGTGCACACGGGCACACACACACACACACACACACACACGAGATAGGGCAGGTCCTCCTCTGGCCTGCTCTGGGCAGTCAGGGGCAGGGCCCTTCCAGGACTCCAGGATTTTTACTAACTCCAAGCAATGTCCCTGGAGACCCCTGGGATCCTGAGCCAACACTGCAGCTTGCCCCAGTGTGCCTGCTATCTCACGTTTTGCAAATTGTTTCATCACCATCATTAAAGAGTATTTACTGAGTGTTTACCATGTGCAGTACCAGAATTTACACACGTTGGGGGGATTGAGGGCCAGCAGAGGACACCAGGCGGGCTGCAGCCCCCATGGACAGGCCAACTGGCCTGGCAGCGGCTGGGACGCAGTGACTGGGTGTGGCACCCCTTTCCCTGGGCTGGAGCAAGCACAAAGCCCAGCCTCGGCTCTGGACCCGCCCAAAGGACGCTGCTGGCCCAAAGCCGGCCACGTGGTCACTGGGTGGGGGCAGGCATGGCTCCGTGGCAGGCTGAGCTGACCTCCTTTCCCATAAGTTGGTATCCTGGGCTGCGGTAACAAAGGACCACAAACGGGGAGTGAGGGTTGGGGGGCGTTCAAAGTTATCCTCTCTCAGCTCTGGAGGCCAGAAGTCTGAAATCAAGGGGTCCACAGACCTGAGCGCCCTCCAAAATTTCCAGGGGAGGGTTCCTCCAGCCTTGCCCAGCTCCTGCCTGGCACGCCCAGCTCCAGGCAGCTCTGGGCACATGGCCGTGTCACTCCAGCCCCTGCCTCTGTGCTCACACAGCTCCAATGTCTTCTCCCTTCTTTTATAAGGCCACGTGTCATGGAGTTTGGGGTCCAACCTAACCCAGCATGATCTCCTCTCAAGATCCTTCACTGATCACCCTGCAAAGACTCTTTCTCCCAATAAGTCCCCATACACAGGTTCCAGGCAGACACGTTATTGACAGGAACCGTTCCGCTCACCGCATCCAAGTTTCTGTGGGGCCCTCAGGGCAGGTCACAGCCTGCCACGCACATGGGCTGGGCTGGCCCTCGGGGAACAGGTGGGCAGGGGGGATGTAGCCGGCCGTGCCTGAGGCCTGAGTGTGGGAGCTGAGGAGTGCTGTAGAAAGGGGTTGGCCAGAGGGGTCTTTCCAGGACAGGTGGCCTGTGTGCAGTGGAAATAAAATGACCCAGGGTGGGGGCAAATGCAAGGTATTTTGTCTTTTCTAAAAATGTTTGCTACATTCTCCAATGTTACTGTATTGTGGGTCACAGCCCCCAAGAAATTGGAAACTCCCCCTGCCTGGCATGGTTGGACTATAAGAGGAAGGACATGCTTCCAGGGCACAGCCCAGGGGGTTGCAGTCACCTGCACAGGCCTTGGCCCCCCCACAGGCACAGGGTGGGGAGGGGTGGCCAGGGCCACAGGGAGGAGGCCCTCTGCTCTGGCCCCTGTACTGCCGGGCCACCTGCTGACAGCCATCTGACACCAAGTCTGGGGGCCCAGGCGCTGCCAGGTGGGAGGAGTGGGGAGGAGGCTGGGTCCATGAGCCCTTTCTCCGGGGCCACGGTACTGTAGAATGGGGTGGGGGAGCATGTCCCCAGGGCCCTGGCTCAGGCATTCTTCCAAATTCACGGCTGGCCTCATATCAAGTGCTTTCCCTCTAAACCCATCCTGGCACTTTTTGTAACCTGTGCACTATTTTGCCTGTAAATGCCGTGGTCAGGGAGCAGTCTCCTTATGGTGTGAAGGTTTTCATGCTCAGGAGGTTCTGGTTAAGAACAACCCAGATCCGCACGGGTCCTGGTGCCCCTCCCTGTCTGGGTGACGGGGACACAGACTCCAAGCCTGTCCCTGCAGACCTTCTCGCTCCTGCCCAGGGTTCTCCCAGCCCTGCTGGGGGTGGAGAGGGAGGGGTGGGAAAGGGCCCGGGGGGGCAGGCCCCTGTGCCCCTTACTCAGGACCCAGGAGAGAAAGCAGCCTTGGCAGGAAGACATGGGGTTGCTGGTGACGACTTGGCCTGCTCTCGGGCCCTGGGTGCTTCCCGTTTCTCTCGGTTGCCTGAGATGCCTTGCCCACGCCCGCTGGGCCTCCCCACCCCACCCCAGGTGCACCAGGGATCTCCACGAAGCTGCCCTGGGCCAAGAGACGTGGTGTTTTATTTGTTGAAGGGAATTACCGGGCAATGAGCGCATCATTACCAGCATAATCAACAGACGGCACGTCCCCTTGGGGTCCACCACATCTTGACAACAGGTGTGATCCTGGCAACTGCCCGGCCAGGGGAGGCCAGCACGCTGCAATTAGCAGCTAATGAGGAGGCCTGCCGTGACCCACTCCTCCAGGGGGAGACCAGGGCCAGGAGGGGGGCGGGTCAGAGTGTGGGCAGCCTTTCAGGGGTCCCCCCTCTGGCCCTGCCCCTGCCCCTGCCCCTGCCCACGTGGGGCTGGGAGCAGCGCAGGCAAGGCTGGTTGGGGAGCACCTTGCTGTGATGCGAGGCTTGAAGCTTCAGGTCCTGGGCGGGACACGGCACTTGCTGGAGGCTGGGCCTGCCCTGGCCCCAAGAGGCCCTGCTGGTGACCCAGAGGCCACGTCTCCATGGGAACCATGGGCTAAGTAGTCCCGGTGGGCAGGCAGGAGGAAGAGGGGAAGCCCTTTACTTTGCCAGCCCAGGTGCCTAGGGCCAGAGCCGGCACGGCCAGGGGCACAGCTGTCCCGGGCTGTGGGCCTGGGAGGGGTGGCCAGGCCACCTGTCTGTCCTGCAGGACAGGGGTGTGAGGCACACCAGGTCCCGCTGGCCACAGAATAGTGCTGGCTTGTGTGGGGTGACTCCGAGGGATATGGCCTGTCCGGGTGTGGAAGACGTTGCAACTTGTTTTCAGCCCTGTGTCCCCCACCTGCCGTGGCAGAGCGTCAAAGCCAGGTGCCTCTGCATGCACCCACATCTGTACTCAGCCCCCTTCACCACGTGGGGCATCTGGGGTGCCTGAGGAAGTGTGTGGCTGGTGGTGGGGTCTGGAGTGGCAGGGCTGGGGTCCCCTGGGGAGCCCCAAGCCCCAAGGCCTCCAGGCTCTGCGGGCTTGCCCAGCAGGTCTGGGGCTTGGTCCCACGTGGCAGGGACTGGCAGTACCCCTCGGCCATCGGTGACCCTGCCCCTGTGCTCACAGCAGGCCTGGGGCTGGTTGGCCTGGGTACCCCGAGGCACAGGCCTCAGGCAGGGTGGATGGCCTGGAGCCAGCCCAGGTGGCCTGGCCACAGTGGCCTCAGGACAGGCCCAGGATCCTACCACACGGAGGCCAGGGCCCGTCCCAAGGCTCACCAGGGGAGCTCCACAGAGAACTGACCCAGGCCCTGGTCTGCTTCCAGCCCCCGGGAGACAGTGCCTGAGGCTGAGAGAAGGTGGCCAGTGGGCTGGCAGGAGCCTACTAGGACCTGGGCCTGGGGGCTGGCACTGCCCTCAGCCCTTCCGCATCCCCAACCCTGACGCCCATCGGCCTGGCTGTCC